TGCAGGGCAACGTTATACAGATTGGACCTATGAGAGCCTAACTAGGCTTTTTGCTCTGGAACTAGACAAAGTTCAGAGTAAACGAAAGGGGAAGCAAGGACATAGACCAAAAAGCTGGTGGGACAAAAAAGTGAAGCAAGCGATACAAAAACGTCAGGAAGCCTCTAGAGAACACAGGTATTCCAAGCGTAGTGGGGAGTCAGAAACGGAAGTAAAAAGAAAATGGGACACTTTCATAACATGTCGCCGAGAGGCATCCAGTTTGATCAGTGCGAAAATTCAAAGAAAGGATGAGGAATTGATGAGTAAAGTAAGCAAGAAAGATAGATACGCAGCCAAGACGTTTTGTGAGCACTTGAACTCACTCGGTGAAACGACGCAAGCTAGACAGGGGTTCATACTCTCGCATCAGGGAGACCAATTAGAGGGAGATGATGCGATACGACATATAGGAGCAGTGATGGAGGAGAAATTTCGGGAACGGGTGCATGTGGAAGATAGGAGAACCGAAGGAAGTAGCAGTCCAGCTTCTGACATCGCGGATTTTGGTCGAAGAGAATGGGAAAAGGCGGAACGAAGAATCCCTAGTGGCACGTCGACAGGCACAGATGGTATCCCAATCAAGCTGGCGAAGAATGTGGGTCCTAAATCTAAGGCAAAACTAAGGGAGGTAGTGAGCACTTTGATAACAAAAGGAAATATTCCAGATGAATGGAGGCTTAGTAGGATGAATATGATATATAAGGGAAAGGAAGATAAGTCTGATATTAGGAATTATCGTCCCATAACCGTGACACCAGATATTTACAGGTTGGTAATGCAGATTATAAAGAACAGACTGGAGGAATGGGTAGATTGCGAGGGCATACTGGGCGAGTTACAGAACGAGTTTCGGAAACAAAGAAGGTTGGAGGATAATATATTTGCTCTAACACGGTGTATACAAATAGCGCAAAAAGAAAACAGACAGCTCTGGCTGGCATTTCTGGATATCAAGGATGCCTATGACAATGTGAGCCAAAGAAACCTGTGGAACATAGTGGAGAGCTTAAACCTAGATGAAGGACTAACAGCAATATTAAGGAACCTCTACAAAGATAATAAGGTGATTATGGAGAGGATGGAACATGGAGAGGAAAGGCAACGGGTAAAATAGAGATAAGACGAGGCCTTAGGCAGGGGTGCCCGTTATCGTCTTTGCTGTTTATGTTGTATCTGAGAGGATTGGAGGATAGACTACAGAAGAGTGGGCTTGGATTCGACCTTTCGTACAGTAAGCTAGGCCAAAAAATTCAGCAACCCTTACTGAGATTGATGTATGCGGATGATCTCGTACTAATGGCTAACAACAGGACAGAGTTGGAGGAATTAATGAGCATCTGTGGTAAGGAAGGAGAGGAATTAGCTTTAGGATTCAGTGGTGAAAAATCAGCAGTCTTGATTTTTAACGATGATGAACTTGAGAGGCTGAAGATACAGACTATTACAGTTGAGAGAGCTTGTAAATACAAGTATCTAGGAGTATGGATATATGGTGGTACAGAATATCTCAGTGAGCATGAAAATTATGTAATGGGTAAGGGCAACAGAAATGCAGCTGTAATAAAAAATAGAGCACTTTGGAATTATAACAGGTATGAGGTGGTGAGAGAGATTTGGAAAGGGGGTCATCGTGCCTGGCTTGACTTTTGGGAACGCAGTGCTATGCATGAAATCCGAAGTGAATGCAAAACTGGAAGTAAAACAGCGCGGAGTAAGTAGGCTTGCTTTGGGAGTATATTGTAAAACACCAAACCAGGGAGTACAAGGAGACATGAAATGGGCGTCATTTGAGAGCAGGGAAGCCGTGAGCAAGATAGAATTTGAGGATCGGTTGAGGCAAAGGGATGGGGAGCAATGGGCACGAAAGGTTTTTAGCTATTTATACATGAGGACTATAGACACAAAGTGGAGACAGCGCATTAGGTAATTAAGAGGAAAGTTTTTAGGCTATACCGGAGTTACGGAAGAGCAGGTCTCAGTTAAGAAGAAAGTTAAAGCCACAGAAAGAGATCGGTCGCTAGAGGGAATGCAGACAAAGACGGCTCTAGAAAGCTATAGATTAAAAAAAAACAGTTATTGCCAAAGAAAGCATTTATGACAATTCTAGGGGAAGTTCATTGTTTGAGGCGAGGACGGGTGTTCTGCGAACCAGAAAATACAGAGCGAAGTACCAGGAAATGGGTACAGTGTGCACTGCTTGTGGAGAGGAGGACGAGACGGCTGAGCACTTGATACTCTACTGTAAAGGGCTTCACCCTATGCCTACCGAAGACAACATAGATTTAATAAAGTCAGTGGGTTTTAGAGACAGCGAAGGAAGAGTGGATTTCAAGACAGTAGAGATTACCAAGCAAAGATGAAGTGAATGGTGGCAGAAAGCGAGAGAAAACTAGGTATTTTCTTATTAACTGATGGCAAGGGGCTTTATAGCCTCACTTTCTCTTCAGTGCGGAGTGAATATAGTTTTCAGATTTAAATATTCTAAGCTTAAATGGTAAAACAAAATGGCTAAGTAGCGTAAGCTACCGCCTGATCCAAAGGGCTCAGCCGGATTCATCCTTCCATCATCCATCCATCCATTGCACCAGGACTAGCGCTCCCTCTCTCCCCTGGACGTTGGCTTAGAACTTGGGAGTGTGTAGTGGGTCGCGCCGTTGTGGTGACGGGTACGACAAGTGGCAGCCCATAGGTCACGTCTAGTTCTGTGAACCGCATGGCGCGTGACTATATGCCATCACGGAAAGACGCAGCGCTTCCCATCGTCTCTTCGAAGCACTACGAACCGTACGGCGCGTGAAGGAGCACTCATGGATCAATCTGTAGATGTAGACTAGGGCCGACTTTTACGCTCCGTACATCCTGAAAGCGGCACAATTATTTCTCTCTACCGCTGCCAGTCCAGAACACAAAGAAAACAGACCGAACACTTCCCAAAGTCGATAGGTACCCTGTTTTGTTATTGTCTTGCTTTCTTTGCATTCATTTCGTGAATGTAAATAAATATATTTGTGACTGAGCGACCTGTAATTGTTGTCGATTGCATTTTTTCTTAAACGAGCCTATATGGACTACGGCACCGACATTATCATTTCACTCTTTTTGAAAGGAAATCATCAGAGCGCTTATCTCCTGCACTCGTCGTATAAGATACAAGCACCAGGACAATGGCGTGCCGGACAGGGTAGCTTTGTCTCGACACTCACAAGAAATTTTAGGCCTATCTCGGCTAAGTGCTCGCTAAGCACTTGAAAATAAAGTGGTTCATTGTTTCGAAGATTGGCGTCAATCACTAAAGGACATGTTATTTTTATCTGATTCATGGGGTGAGGCACGGGTCTTCAGTAGCACTGCCCATCTGACCATCTGCAACGTCGGTGCTTCTGTCAAGTATAGGTTGTCCCCAAGCGGACCTTCCGGTGTAAAACAAGCCCGAAAAATCTGCCCCTGCACATAGAAAGATCAAGCTTCCGCCGAATGTGCACTGAGCAGGTCGGTTTCACTGTGTTAAGTTTTAACACGCAGTTTTCTTTACATAAAAAAATTAGAGCAAAAATCTTGCAAACGTCAAGGTTAGCTGCGTTCGCAGACGACACAGTTAGCAACGCTTTTTACTTGTGGCGCCATATTCCGATGGGCGCCGCGAACAGACAACAGAATGCGTCGACTGCTTGCTGCACGTATTGGGAGAGGGCCACAAGTTAACAGTGTCGCGAACTTGGTCGTCTACCAGCGCGCCCAACCGTGACTTTGGCAAGTTTTTTGCTCTGATTTTTACAAGAGAATTGCGCCTCCAAATTTCACACGGTAAAACTGACATGCTCAGTGCACACTCAGTGAGAGGTTGAGTGTTCTGCGTTACGCAGGCTCCTATTTTTCGGGCTCGTTTCATAGCGGAAGGTTCGCTTTATCTTCGCCCTCACTGTTCGCTTTTGAACTGAACAATCGACTCCGTTCAACTGAACTCAGTCAACACCCCCTAGAATAATCAAAGCCTGTGTTCTGAAATTCGACGTCATTACAGTGAGATCGAACTAAGGCACTGATTGTACAAATGTGCTGCGTCAGCTTTAGGTTGCGTCTTATGTCCAGTCAACGCATCGAAAGACACTGGGCATCTAGCACCGGTCCAATTGACAACTGCCGAAAATCCCTGCATGCAACACAGCGCGCGTTGCATTATGGGACCTCTTTGATCATGGAGAGGAGTAGCATGGTTTCGATTTCGATTGCCCCGTTTAAGAAGTAGTGCACCTCAGCACGGCATAGCCGCCTCGGTGGCTCCGAGGCGAGAGCGCCGGCCTACGGATCCCCAGGTGGCGGGTTCGAATCCCGACCGAGGTGCCCGCAATATGACGGAGGCTTATTGTGGCGAAGGCGCCGTGTAACCGAGCTTTCGGTTGCACGTCAAAAGATCCCCAGGTGGTCGAAATTAATCCTCAGTCCTCCGCTGGGGCGTGCCAGATGCCCGTCGTAGGTTTGGCACGTAAAACCCCCAAATTTGACTTCAGCACGGCATGAAAGTAAAGTCTGAGCTTGCCTGAATTGCAGCCAATCATATTCGTGAGAGTTTACCTTTCGCGTCCCATACCTTTCTGGTGGCGTGGCTACCACTCCAGGGCGCACGATGACCCTCCCTGGACAAGGATCATTTAAGAAGCATAGGACATTGAGTAGATGTAACAGGACGATCGGCCCAGTGCAATTCTTGTTCTTACTTTGTTTACCTGCGCTTAAATTCTCGTACGTCGGAACTCGGGAGCCCAAAACAACGTGCCCCAGCATTCAATTCATATTGGTAGGCAACACCATAAATATAAGGAAAGTGAGATATTTGAAGATCCATGTACTATATTTAATCATGACGGTATCCCGTGGACTGAGGTTTGCAAATCGAAACTTAAACGATAGCCAGAACCTACCCAATATGCACTGCGCGGCACCACGTCGAAAGCATCGCATCGATTTTGTAAGAGGTTTATTGTTGAGCTGTCCTTATCCGACTGCAACGACGTTCAATGGAGCAAGAAAAGGATATTCGTAGGGGCCTTTATTCACTACCCCAGGTGGTGTTGGCTTAACGTATTTTTGTATCGTGGGCCCATGGCTGGTGTACAAAGCTGCTCACTACCCTACTCGAAAGCGCCCACAACCCTTAAGATTGGTTATCTGATTTATCTCGGCTCAGTTCTCAGTTTCTCGCTCATTCGTATTGCTTCATCTAATTCCAAAATCTGATTTATCTCGGCTCAATTATTAGTTTCTCGCTCATTCGTATTAATCCCGACTACTCGATGTTCAAAGCACGTGGGCACCAAGCTTTATAACAAACGGGGAGCAGTTAGCATTTCACGATTCCAAATGATAAAACGAGCGACGGACAACGACAGGAACATTAGCGGCTTCTGTAGGGCAACTCGGGCCATTGGTGGAACGGTTTCACTAGCGAGGCTTGTTAGCACGATATTATATTATTTCCTCACAACTCGTACACAAATTATTTATTTAACTGGTGCAGACGAGACCAACAATAGAGCGCTTTGCTCCAAAAGGTCTCCCAGCCTGCTTCTGTAAACTCATTGCGCGACCACGATGTGATGCGAACTTATCCCCTTGTCATAATGCATTGCGCTTCTTTCGCGTGATAGAGTCAAGATGGTAAGCGTCGTGGCTGACGTATCCGAAAAATATCGCTGCAATATGACTTATGCGAACTTTGAAATAAAACTGTTGGCTAAGCTTAACAACATAAAAAATTAAAATAAGAAAATTTATTTTACTTAAATAATTTTTCCTTATGCTATTTCCCTCATGAAAGCATAAAATATAATCTTTTCTTGTGGTTTTTATATCTTGTCATATACTTTTACAATCGCTATATATTTTTGACAGAATCTAGGGTAATTTATTTGATTATATGAGACTAATTTTTAATTACTTATTTGAGGCTTATTTAATCATTTGGCAGCAATTTTTTATTTACCATTTGCGAGACTGCAATTGATTACTGTGATAAAATTTATTTTTAGCTAAGCTAGCTAAACCTGCAATCAGTGACTTTTTAAATACCTGAGAAAGACTGGATATGGTCCTAACCTGCGGAACCTGCAAAACACACTGTACAGTCTATCGATATTCGAACTTAATGCTGATTCCTTTCTCCGGATTGATTACTATAGCGGGAACGACCAGTCTCAGTGGGTCCTGTGTTTCCTCGCATTGCCTGATCCTGTACTTTCGGATCAATTTGCACAGTGCCATCTTAATTTCGAGCAAAGCGAACTTCTTTCCGATGCACACTCGCGGCCCTAACCCAAAGGGCAAGTACGCTGCAGAATGACCGGTGTTCTTTCCTTCGGCGAATCGCCCTGGATCAAACTTGAAAGGCTCTGGCCAGAGGTCAGGGTCATAGTGGATATGCCAGGTGGGAACTACGATACTGGTTCCGGCAGGAAAGAACTGTCCCATTACAATTGTGTCCTCTAAGCAAACTCTGCTGACGAAGAGGATGACAGGTGGGTACATGCGCAGACTTTCGCAGAGGACCATGTCGAGACGTTTCAGCTGTTGGATGCCGTCATACGTCAGTTCCTGGTTTTCCTCAGGAAACACCTCGTTGAGTTCGTCCAAAATCCGATCTTGTTCTTCAGGGTACTTGGCCAGCAGGTGGATGGTGAAGGCGAGTGACGAAGCCGTCGTTTCGAAGCCCGCGATCAAGAAGACGAAGCAGTTGGCGATAAGATGGCGGTCTTCCACGAGTTTCTTTACTTGCCCCGTGACCTTGGTGCTGTCCTCTACTCCGGCCTGGGCGTCGAGCAGCATCTGCAGCATGTCCGTTGTCCTGGCGCTTTGTCTCGTTCGGCGAAGTTCAATGACATGGCGGATGTTGTCGCAGACTCGCGTCGTCATCTTGCCAAAACTTGTGAACGAAAACAAGCGGGAAATTGTCTTGCTCAAAATCGGAAATCGGATGACCTGCTGAAAACTGCTGTTCTCTACGTCATGGAACACTGTCTGTACGCTCAGCAACAGCGGGTCGTTGGGATTCTTCTGGCAGTCCACCTGTCAATCGAAGGAGACAAAATGATGTATTACGACGAAATGACTTTCCCAACACCACCTAGAATAATCAAAGCCTGCGAAGAACCTCTTTTGCCTGCACGTAACTTCGTCACCCTCCAATGGCACCAACTCGGCAACTGGGCCCGAGCCCGAACGCGGGAGCCCTTCGACATTCATCTGGGACTCGACAGGATGCCCAGGTGAACGCTGACACGCCACTCGTGCAATTTATATCTGCCCTAAATCTCACTGCGATGATGTTGAAATGCTGGTATGTGGGCTATGATCATTCTAGGTATTGTTGGCTGTCCGCGGGCTGCGTTATTAAGTAATACAATACACCGCTCAAAAGAAAAGTTTCAATGGCATTCGAGAAACATCAAATAGTAGGGCTGTGCGAATACTGATTAAAATCAAGTAGGGCAATGTCATTCCTAACTTACGCAGTATAAGTTTGTCCCAATATACCGGCTCTGTTTACAGTGTTGAGGATAGGAATGACACTATACGCTATTCAATCCGATCCAGCATTTGCACATCCCTACAAAACAGCACCTCTTTCACACTGCCGGGAGGGACCGAGATTTTATAATTGAATGTAGAACTTTTAGATAAGGTCAGGATTGAGCGAAGAAAGAGTTTTAGTTGACAGTTCTGATACCCTGGATAACGATATCCAATAGCGATCTACTTAAAGTCCCTTATATTCCTCCTTTTCGGCTCTTTTCAGGAGCGTCATGAATACAAACATTTGTCTTTCACTCACATAATTAAGTTTAGACAACAACCTCGAAGGGGAGCATTGTTCTATCTTCTGCCGACATGGTAATTCGACTGCATTATTACATGAGCCGGGCTTTTGGACACGAAATGTGCCTATGGCCTGGATTTTAAGTAAGACGTGTCACACACCGGTGTGACAAAAACGCGTTACGCACAGGTCACGATAACGAAAGCATAAAGAGCCTATAGAAGGCAGTGCGTAAGCATCCAGAAAGAAGCCATTCTTAGCCATAACTCATCATACTGCGTTAAGTCACACACGCGCAGAGCTCCAGCAAGGTTATTGCACGTGCAGAAAGACTAAAGTTCTCTCGATGCATTGCGGCAGCGGTGGCGTATAGACGAACTGGCTGGCGAGATCGGTCCATCGTAAAAATCGAGATTTATCGAGGCGCTCAGTGGGAATCGAGCTCTGGATCGTGCAATCCGCAGCCTGGCGTCTTTACTCGGCGTTGAGAGCGGGTAAAAAAGAGTGTAAACAGCAGCACCAAGAAGGACCATGGATGACTCACGAGAGCATGCGTACACAGGCAACTGCCGGGGCGCGCTGCTGGCTCCCGAGTGACGGAGTATACACGAACTCATCTCTGTTACGTCACGGCGCGGTGGTGGCGCGTCGGGCGCATTTCCGGTCTGGGGCTCTGTGCGGAAGCCGCCATGGGGGTCGTGCATTCTTGTGTAGGGGTGTCGCGAACTTTTGTCGAACCAGATTTTTTGGTCGAACTTTGGGGGTTCGGCTGGGTCGAACCGGTTCGACGAACCTTCGAGCTTTTCACCAGATTCGAACGGTTCGACTTCGTGGACAGTGTGGCCAGACCTTGATACAAGTATGTCTAGGTTTGGAGATTTTTTTTTTTATGCAAAGAGTTATTTTATTTTGTGAACAGCTGCAATTGAAAGAAACTAATTCTATTCACTGAAGAAGTTAATAACTTAAATTTTAGTACTGTATTGACTGAAATAGCGGATCAGCGCTGCACTTAATTCATCTCTTAGCCATTACCATCCAATCCGAAGCCAACTGGCCAGCCTGTCGCGCATGCGCACACGAGTCGAACCTCAATACAAGGTTCGACGAACTTTCCACTAAAAGTTCGAAAAAGTCGAACCTGGTCGAACTCGAACCGCGGCCGGTTCGCGACACCCCTATTCTTGTGTTACTTTGAAAGAAACCGGACAAAAACTTGCCTTCGCGTCAAAACGCCGCGACTGGGGCTTTAAAAAAAGAGTCTGGAAAGGTTTGAAGGTCAGTTTTCATGCCTTTCCTGCCTGCTCGGTCCGTCCGAGAACGTAACCAGGGGCCGTTAAAAAGAAAATACAGGCGCCGTCGGACCACGATTGCTTGGGCGGAAAGCACTTTGGATTGAATTCACAGATAATTGTGGTCGTCAGATTTATTTGTTTTGTTCCAACATGAACGCGGGAAAACCGCCAAGTTGCATGGACCGCCTGCGGACTACGTTCAGTGCGTCATCACGTTCAAACGGCCGCCTCATCGGTCGAGCTGTCGTCTGCTCTCTCAAACGTTTCTGCTTGTCGTCTGTTCGTTCAAACGACAGCAGCCGGTAGACCAAACGTTGACCCGGTAATTGCGATAAGAAGAGCAGACCTCAAAAGACATTTAAGTTTGTAGGTTTCATCGGGTAAGTAGGCTCGGTGTAAACAGTAGATATAAGGAGATGTTAATAATTTTTACCAGTGGCCATCACCGACTTGTTATGCCTGATTCACTCGGTCCGATTCTGCTTGCGAGTTTCAGTATCGACGTCGACATCTCAGCTACGGTGCAGGCTTTTGCAGCCGGAGCGACGTCTTGAATGATAATAGCGAGCAGAACCTCACCATGTGAATCAGGCTTTAGCGCCCATTCTGCGACGTCCACGAGAAATGAATCGCCGCATGTTGCATTATTCACGCCGAGCTTCGTCGCGGAACGAGCCTCGTTAATTTTTCTGACGCCGCTCAAGTAGCGCTAACATTGTCCAGGAAGACGCAGAATCAACAATTCCAACGCAAAAAAGAGCGCGGGGACTCACACCGAAGCCGACAACGTCCCAGTACAATGGTTTGTTTATGGGCTACGGCGAGCTTCTTGCCCACACCCCCATCGCACGCGCGGCGTCAGTGGCGTCCACTAGGGGCGCTCCGGTTTGTCTGTAAACATGAGTTGGTGTATAGCTCCCAACGTGATCTCACTGCGTCATGGGGACAGAACTTCACGCACCAACGGAGGGCGAAGTGGGTGTATGAAGTCACAAGTTAGCACAGCAGCCAAAAGATAGATTAGTGGGTGCGGCAAATCTCCTCTCCTCACGACTACTTCAGTTATCGCAAGAGACTACTCGCAATCTGAGAGCACCAAGGACTTGAGGCGCTACTCGCGCCATCGGAAGAAGCAGAACGCGAGTAGCTTTCTAGGAGAATAACGTTTTACTTCGTTCATTTGTATCAGACAGCACGCCTTCTGCGCCGATTCCTCCCCAAGCGGTTTGGAAACATTGGAACGTACGCGGCGTCGTCAATATCGCATCCCGCTGTCGACGCGGTCGCTCTATCGTGCTGCGCCGAGAATAAGGTCTGCCGGACATTGCGTAGCCAGCACTTTCTTTCGAAGAGGAAGCCCCAGACTCTTAAAGGAACACTGACAGGGTGTTTATGCTCGCCAAGGTTTTTATTTGTAGATGACTAATGAATGAGCGCGTCAGAAACTTTTTTTTATTTATATTTTTGTCGTTTGTTTTACTTTTTAACTGCGAGCCTTTTTCCAAATCGTCCGTGCTATGACCGAGGTTTTGCTTTTTGCGCAACATCTATTTTTATAGTTAGCTTCTCTAAATGCGCCGAATGTATTTTTGCGTTCCAAAACGTCTGGGTACGCTACCTGTTGTGTGTTTGTTTTTGTTAGTTTTGACTTGTTTAGATATGTGCGAAGCAGCTGACCGTTTTTCTTGCAATATAGCTGCTTGCAGGCATTGGGGGACTGCCGGTAGTCCAAGCTATTTGCCTGTTCAAAACTATGCCAACTATTTTCGGTTGAATCGCAGCAGCGTTCCGCGTACAGAGCGACATGAGAAGTAGCTTCCTCGCGAAGCCTTATTGAGTTCGATTCCCTCAATTTGGGCCGCCCGTATGAGATGCGGACGAAGGAGGAACTTTGCTCCCCTGCTTTCAAGCACAAAATTTTCCGCCTTTCTGAAGGAATATAGCTTAAAAGATTGTTCCTGTCTTAATGAAGGAATATACGGGCCTTTTTTTTTTTCTAAGACTACGTAAGCCCCCCTCCCTTTTCCCTTTCCCCCTGGCTATGCCACTGGCTGCCGGTGCCGCACCGAGATACCGGATCCTCCAAGGCGGTAGACGGTTGTCTTCGCTGTGTCGATGGGTTTACACGACGATAGGCGGTGGCAGTCACCCCTCCGAATTGAAAGGGGTGAAACCCCGAGGCTGTGCGGATCCAGCGATTCCAACTAAGCACGAGCTGTCGGCGCCAAGGCCATTGGATTTTCCCGGAGTAAGGTGCACTTCCCAGTAAAGTATTTCCACAACCTGTGAGAGCTCGTCATTAAAGTATACTCCTCACGCAGTTCGCTCCTGTATAGATTTAGACTTGTCTAGGTCATTCCAATAAACCGTCAAAAACATGAGTGCATCGTGTTTACAACGCGTTTCAAACCAACTAAAGCTCCACAAAAGGAAGCAGAATTAAGCAGAAAGTCTCGGCTACACTACTCACGCAAAAGACAGTCCTAATGCAATCCCTGGGGCGCGTCTTTGTTTTCTATGGCGGTCGCATTGCTCATACAAGATCTTTCTGCAGGAATGTTCGAGATATACTTGGAACATACTTGATGCGTGCCTACATTTCGTCATCATGTCTGTCATTCCATGTAAAAGGAGAAACGGCCATTTTTTGTGTCTGGGATATGTAGGAAAAAATTAATTTTGATTAAAAAAACTTTTAACACGAATAAAAATTTCTGTGTGAAACCAGTAAATTTTATTTTGGCTGATAATAGGTTCTAAAATTCTGGAATTGCATAAACCCCGTGCAGGTAAAAGAGAATGTTGTGAAACAAAGGTTGCTTATCACATAAATTTACGCGGGCGCCTAATTACGAAATAATACCTTACATTACCTTACATTATTATACAATTATTTGAACACGCCATTTTAAGTCAAAATAGGAGCTCCAAAAAGAAAGAAACTTTATGCGATTTCTTCTTTTTTTTTCAGTCAACTTGGGTGTTAGCTGCAATACTTTTTTAAGGCCAATAATTGAATTGCTTGTAATAAATTTTAACGCATCGTTTCGTTCCGTTTTAATTAAATGACAAAATCCCATAAAAACCAATGTGGGCAGCAGTGCCAGGAACTTTCCAAATAGCCAAGAGCCCAATTCGCCTTATGTGTCTAACATATAAAAAAATAAGAAAATATTTTTGTTGTTTCTGAGAAATCATTTTGTAAAGACGAGCCTCTCCGACCATGCCTCCAGGCTCCCGCCTCGTAGCTAGCGACGCACTCCGCGGCGTTCGTCAGCGAGGCGTCAGCGGTCTGAGACGCCGCCGCATGGTCCCCAGCGCTGACCTGGAAACACGTTTTATTCATTTAAAGTGGATGTTATTCTGATTTATATGCATCCGTATCTTCTCTACGTCACCTGGTGATACTGGTGTTTTAAATTTACTATATTTGTTCCCGGGTAACTGCTAAATTTGTAACTGCCGACGAACGCAGGCCTGCATCGTCTGCTTCCCGAGTTTGGCCATGCGTACGTCATATGGTCTGTCGCATGTCCAGATATAAAAACAATTCAGACCGGATAGCTTTTTACCGATGTGAAAGATAATTTCGCTTCTCTATTGAGCTTAAATGTGTTTTGATAGGATATGTACTGCTAAATCAGCGTTATGATGGATATATCATTCGACTCCTTGCGGGGACGCCTCACGCCTCTGAGGTTCCGTTCATGTACAGTATTTAAAACTCCGGGATATACTGGAGGCCAGGGCCCCTAAACTCGCCAAAAACAAAGTTGGAGCCCAAAGTTCGCTGAGCGCGCTGATTGGACGTCGGCGAAAAAAGCGCCAAGTCATCGTCGTGATAGACCAATCGGTTCGCTCCGTCAACTTTGGCCCCAACTTTGTGTTTGACCAGTTTAGAGCCCCAGCAGAGTATGTCTCGAATTCTGAACTCAGTAGTATTTTTGGAGGAAGTGTGTTTTATAAGAGACAGGAGTTACGCTTGTGCCGTCTTTGCCATTTAAGTGTCAGGCTCGGCAAACATTAAATGAGGTACAAGAACCGTCAGGGTAATCCGGGTTTCAACAAATTGTTGGTTAAATGTTTAATCAATGGTTTTATGGTTCATTTTGCTATTGAAGTATTGACGCCATCCACTATCAGAGGCTTAACGAATTAACGGAATTCGTGAAAGGGTAATTGTTTCTTAGCCAATGTTTATCGACCGGATTTCGCGTTTTTAAGATTGATTTCAATATTGCGCGCAAAAAGATTTCCACAAGCTCTGCGCACTATGACGTTAAGAAGAGTGACATATTTCCATGACTTCGTCACTTTATCGGTTTATCTGGAGCGCGCCCTCGTCCTTGTAAAAATAATAATGTTTTTTATTCCTTTGAAAGAAAACACACAGCAAACTTTAATACCCATCTTAGTTCCATCAAAATACATTTCAGTTCACTGCGGAAGCGACTTCGCTGTTATTATTTTTTATCGGTAAAGAGATATCCTGTCTGAATTGTTTTAGAGCGCAGCTCTTAGGTGTCCGTTATTGGGTTGGGCAGCTTCGGCGTCGCCGTCGCCGTCGGTGTAGGCTTAACCGCGCGCGTTGCATCTGGGGCGTCACCGTTTTCCCGCTCAATTTAGCGGGGAAAATGATTGGTGGTGAGGTCACGTGACGTCAATTTTCCCGCGTAATTTAACGGGAAAACGTAGCCCGCTAAGTTTAGCGGGGAAATTTTCCCCCTAAATTAAGCGGGGAAATTGACGTCACGCGGCCTCAACACGCATTCAGCTTCCCCACTAGATTTAGCGGTAAAAATGATGTCACATGATTTTGTGACGTCATGACTTCGTGTCATGTGACGGAGGAGGGGATATTAAGGAGGAGGAAGAGGGGCATTCCCTGTTCTCCGTACCCTCCCTTCCTCCTCCTCAAGAGCTGCGCTCTAGTTTCGTATTACAGAGGTTTGTAAACGCCTTTCACTTTTTTTTTTTTTTTTTTAAATCTGGACATACGACAGACGATGCCTACGCTCAGTATGCCTTCCCAAACTCGGAAAGCAGGCGATGGAAGCCTGCGTTCGTCGGCAGTTAGCTGGGCAGAAGTAGAGTAAAATAAGCACGCCAGTATTATTACGTAACGTAAAAAAGGTGCGCATGCATGGAGGTTAAAATGACGTCCACTTCAGTCGAATAAAACGTGTTTTTAGGAGGGTGTTAAACACCTTGGGGGGCGGCGGCGTCTGCCACCGTTGACGCGTCGCTGGCGAACGCCGGCGTGCGTCGCCTACAAGGCGAACTCCTGGAGGCATGGTGAAAGAGGCTCAACTTTAAAAAAATAATTTATCAGGGACAACAAAAAGTACTTTTCTTACATTGTTTATATGTTAAACAAATGAGGTTAATTTTTATGGCTCTCAATATGGCTGTTTCTACAGAGACTGGAGATCTTGGCGTTTAATTAAGACGTTGATTTTTAAATATAAGAAATTCAATTATTAGTCTTAGCAAAGCGAGGTACAAATGTACTGTAGCTAACACCCACTCCAAAGTTGACTAAAAATTATAGAAAGCTCATGAAATCTCTTCGATTTGGAGCTCCTATTTGCACTCAAGATGGCTTCTTAAAATATGTGTATTTTAATGTGAGATAAGGCATATTATAAATAATCAGCCGCCCACCTAAATATGTCTGAGAAGCAACAGTTTTTTTATAGTGTTTCTCTTAACTACATAAGGTTTGTGCGAATTCCAGAAATTTAAAGCTGATATCAACGAAATTAAAATTTATTAAAAATAAAAATAATAATAATTTTCTCAGAGTTCAGAGGCGTCTTTATCCATAATAAGTTTTTCGTACATATCCTAGATATGAAAAAACTGCCGCGTCTCTTTCGGCATGGAATGACGAAGCAGCCAACTCGGTGTCTTTGAAAAGGAGTATGAAAAGCCTGACTGTGACTTAACGAACACATAATGCTCACACAACAGATTCCGTGCCCTCCGGGTTCATCAGAGAGATGAGGACAATTTTGATAATTTCCGTTCACCTGATAGGATTCCTGTTAGACTTCAGGGTTTCTTTCACGGCGACCTAATAACCGTTCAGTTTTATTTAAATGATTCTTCACCGCAGACGTTGATTTCGAGACAATGAATACATTCTTAGAGTTTGTACTATAGAGAGTTGTCCTGCTGGTATCAAGCTGAAACTGACCTGCCAGGCGAAAGCGCACTTGGAGATGACGTCGAGAGAAAGGCCTTGAGACACGCGCAGCATCTCCACCACCTCTCCTTTCTTGACGTGGTCCTCCACCACCTCGAGCGTGGCATCAGCACATGAGCTCATAATCTGCGTCATCAGCTTCATCTTGGAAGCGCTGAAGCTCGGGTTCAGCACCGTGCGCACTTTTTTCCACTCGTCACCTGCGGCATAGAAAGAGATTTGTAGGTCATTCAAATCAGGCTGGACAGCCTCCGGCTGGTCGAGTTCCTTAATGCCACTGCATAGCTGGTACTATCGACCCTACTAAGCCTTTGCTTTATCACTCAGAAAAATAACGCAACAAAATACCATAATGTATCTAAAGATATTGAACGTTCGTTTCACTGTGAAAATTATATAACACCTATGGTGAAAGAATAAAACATAAAGTTGGTTTTTTCTAAGGTCGTGCAGGCAGAAAAAAAAAGGCGATTTTTAGTTACGACAAAAAAAAGTATGTAGATCATTTCCTATCTAAGAAACGTAAAAGCCGCGTGTTCGGATATTTTTTCGTTCTAGAGTTACGGAACGCAGAAGCGGTCACTTGGATATTAGCGTCTTTCTCGACAATCGAAGTAGCATGTTTGCTTCCACGTCATTTTCATTTTTGTTTGCGACTCTTTGGATAGCATAAAACGTTTTAATGTAATTCAAAAATTGAAGGCGTTTTACTTCACTTTAAAGAAATCGCCGAGCACAATTCCCAAGTCGTTTTTTTTATTATTATTAAACTGGACGGGCAGCGACTTTCTGAAGTCATAATTACCATTGTGATGTCTATCCCAAGCCTCAAAGAAGCTCTTCCTCAATCTATAAATACCATTCAGTTATGTTTGTTACCTCCACCGGCATTATTACTTAAATATCGTAAAAATTTAGAAAGTTGCGAGATTCACTTTTTTTACAATATTTTAACATTTTTGGTATTTTGGCGTCCTCGTAAAATATATATATATTTTTCTATCAGGGATCATAGTCGAAAAATTTAACATTTTGTTTGTATGGCTTCCATTTCAGCCCCGATATTGTGAAACATCTATGTCCGTAATTAGCTAGAAAAACAGACAACCTTATCCAACTTGGGAGTCTCTGTTTTAAATTATATATTGGTATATTTCTTGGGCAATGTATTCACGTCCTGCTGGTTGGTGGTGTACTGACTAACGTTCTTAGATCTATCAGTTGACAAGCTCCGGGAAAAAGCGTCGTTCGAAACTGTTTTTTCTCTGTTGCCTGTACGCGAGCAGCTCTGCGCGGATAGCGTTCCTAGCGCCACCAGCGTCAGCGCCTCCACGGACAACGAAGAATGGCCGTTTTAGAACGACGCTTTTACTGCGCCGACTTGTGCGTGTGCAAACTCAATGCTACTTTTAGAAACCCCAAGAGAATCCATTTCTCCCGCAGGTAATGTGCACCCAACGTTCCACCGGTACCGCCGCTTCCGTCCATAAGGAGAGCTGATGATAGTGCAACGAGAGCCACCGAGCACATACGCCACGAAGGGGCCCCAGGCATTCTGGGAAGCTTGTCAACTGACTTTGATCTAGTCACGTTGGGAGTGACTGTGAGGCCAGAGAGACGCGTTATTCTCCCAGAATCCAGTCAATGGTTCCATGGAAAGTAGCGTCAAGCTCTCCATGTAGTTGCCATATTTTTGCATGGCGGGAGCAGTTTCTCTTTGACCTCTCCCTTCCTGGTGATCCGATCATAATTTCAGGTGACAGGTTGCCTTATAGACCGTTTTACTGAAAGAGGGCGAAAGAGAAAAGGGGAAAGGGCTACCGGCGCTTTCCCCCTTTCTGATTGTGTAGAAAGAGTGAAAGTCCCGGATGAGAGGCTTCGCCGGTGTTGGGTGTCTGCTGTGCCCGAACTTCGGTCGCGCTTTCTTTTCGGTTTTAAACTCGCAAACTTAGAGCCAGAGGCTTCGATGGCAACAGTCCCCCGGTCATCGGAATACCATTGCTGGGTCATAGGGTGCACGAATGAAAACAGAAAGCATAGAATACTGTCCGAGGACATATGTAGCTTGCAAGGAATCCGGCAAGGCGAGAGCGGCTGCAATGTCTCAAGGCTCCATTGCTTTCCACATGACCCCTGTCTCCGGCGGCAGTGGATTGCGTCCGTAAACCGAAAAGGCGTTTCCTCAACGCCATCCTCTCGACTTCGCTCGCAACATTTCGTGAATGGAGCGCGCACCGAACGCTGTACCGCCGATGAACATGGGGTACGCTCGCAATGTGCGTGCGAGTTTTCTCATGATAACTGCTGTTTCAGCTTGTAAAATTTCGTAACTGAATTTATCTTAATAGTGATAATTTGCAGTGCTGACTGACTCGATTTTATCATCTACAACACTTAGTTGAGGGCTCATTTCCGCCGCCGGGTGAGGCTGGAAATTGTTGAAAACGTAGCTCAATTGTTTGTTTGTTTGTTTTTCAATCGCGACCTCCTGCGCGATACCAGAGAGCCGGCAAAAGCGCTGTTTGAAGTGCCGCTGGTGGGTTGTTTCCGTTGACTAAGGCGCTTTGAGGCGCTTGATAGTCGCTGCAGGAACGTCTCGTGTGTTGCGATCTGCGTTTTCGAGCCCAGTGTGCACGTTTCTTTGTTTGAGTCATGGCATCCGCCAGTGTGGCGACGGGGGGAACAGCGGCAGCGAACGTGCCAGCGATAGAAATTGGAGGTGAGTACTCAAAATAATGCATCAAATAGTAAAATAATTCGTGGCTGCTTCGAGGCTTTCTGCGGTTCGATAAAAGTACATCTAGAGCGTCTTCGTCGTTCATTCACAAGGAGATATAAGAACAGGGACACGAAGATAAAAACAGCACAGCAAGACGATATGTAGCAGCTCCGGGCGTTTACAAAGTTAATTGAGGTTCCCGTTTCGTGTATCGCTTGTTGATTACAACTAAAAGCGGCTACGTTGAAATAGGCCCATTGCAAGCAAAAATGTATAAATGGTCCATCATTTCCAGTCATGAGGAAAGCAATGGAGCTTAAAAACATTCCAGCCGTACTTGCCTTGCCGGATTCCATGCAAGCTATATAGGTCCTCGGACAGTATTCGACGCTTTCTGTCGTTATTCGTGCACCCTATCACCCAGCAATGGTGTCCCGATGACCGGGGGTCTGTCGCCATCGAAGACCATGGCTCTAATTAAGTTTGGGAGTTTGAAACGTAGAAGAAAACGCGAACGAAGTTGGGGCACTGCAGACGCCCAACACCGGCCAAGCCTCTCATCCGGGACTTTCACTCTTTCTACACAATCAGAAAGGGGGAAAGCGCCGATAGCCCTTTCCCCTTTCCTCTCGCTCTCAAAATGGCGCTACCCACGATAAAACGGTCTATAAAGGCATTCCTTGAATACCGGATTCTTGTTCTCTACATACCGGCGAAACAAGCGCACACATTCGAACCGCCACCACACGCGGCGTCGACGCCTGGCGGTATTCAAAATAATTTCCCCTGTCTTGAAATATGTAAAGCGAAACAATATGATTAAAGGAGCTCTGTTGAAATAGGCACGACTGATATGTTCATTAGATACCCAGTATCAAAGTCACTTATATTAGCGAGAAACGATTTGAATACAATGATGATGCTTCACGGCGAACTTGAGGAGACTGGTTGAGAACAACCCTTGAACCGAAAAAAAGATCGTCACGGCAATAGACCCTTCTAAGAAGTCCGCACACTTGGCCTGTCCGCCATTGCTTGATCAGATACTTTCAAGATGTATTGGACACGAGGGCTACGTCACCGTTCAGCGTGAGCTCGGCTTGGCAAAAGTGTGACGTCAGCGTTCGGTGAGGACTCGGATCCAATCACGCGCTTCGTGACCAAGCAATGACGACCGCCAGTGTTGCTCGATGAACTTTTGAAAAGGGTCTCTTGAGATCAATCAGTCAATCCGCTTGCGAGGTTTCGGTTTTAGCAAAGCGTTACCGTGTTCTCCGTACCGCGCTACCGGAGCCTTTGAAGCATGCTTTTAAGCGCGCGCCTCGCGGTCACGGTATCACCCGGGCGCGGGCTTAAAAGCGTGCTTTAAAGGCTCTCGTATAGGGCGGTGCGTGGAACACGGCAACGGTTTGATAAAAGTCCCTATTGAGTACTCACCCTCCAATCCTACGATGGAGCTTAGGAAAGGCTCGACGACTACGGGAAAAGGAGGTCTGTCGTGGAAGGTGGACGCTTCCTTGACGAAGCACTGCTTGATCATTTCCACATCAGTGAGAACAATGTAAGGAATGTCGCCCACGTAGTAGCCGAAAACCTTGCCGTACTCCTTGATCCAGCGCTCCATCACCTGCGCAGATTGGCCACGAAATAGTTTACCTCGAGCAATATTCGTTCCCTCATTAAGAAGGTATTTATTTGTTATGTCTAGCATTCCAGATAATAAATACGTACGATTCTCGGCGTGGCATTTTTCTCCAATTATGCGATGCATGTAATATATAGTCAATTATGTAACGTAACATCGTATGTGCCAAGTTACCTAGTTTATCAATGCTTTCTTCGTGCGTGTGGTCCGCTTAATAATCAATGGAGTATCAGCTTCTCCACCAACACGCACTTGGGGCCATTCGTCGTGCTAACGCTGCACGCGCTCACGAAACGCCAAAGAGCTGTGCGGAGCGCAATTTCTGCTTCTTGCACAGGAACTGCGAAGATGTCAGAACGCTGAGCTCTTATTGGCTGATTGATACAAATAGTGCGCAGACATCAAGGCATCTAGCATTAAGGTATACCCACAATCCTTTCAATCAAAGCCACTCAGAGCTCGGCATTAGTCTGACGTCACCGCAAGTCCTGCTCAAGAAGCAGACGACTTGCTCTCCGGATTGAAGGTAGAAAGCTCGCGCTGGAGGTGAAGATATTATGGTATCCTTAACCTGGTGCCGACCATATTGTGGCTACAACTGAAGTCGCTGGATACTGGGAATGTAGCGCCATTTCCGTCCCTGCCAGCTAGCCGGACATAAACAAATATCACCATACTGACGACCGAACCTCGCACGGTGACTGGCTGACCTTGTCCCAGTTGACATGGCCATTTTGGTCCATTCAAATCTTCCAAGCTTCGAAAGGGCCATTCTGGACCAGTCGCGCAAAAGATCGCTATGAGCCATCGTACTGAAAGAGTTCCTCACCAGTGCAAGTGTACTTGGCGCTGAGGATCAATCGACTTATCAATCATGCTTATCTCCACAGATGTCTTTGAATGATATTGCTCTTCTTGAGTATTGTAAGGCAGGAAAATTAATTTTCAATGCCTCAAAGCACCGATGGCGCCATGTGGAGCCGGCAGTCTTATACAGGTTACTCGAAAAACGCAGTCAATTACAATTACTCTTGGTTAAATGTATTCAATGTGATTAGTTGGATTCTTGAGAAAAACGTATTGGCCATTAGTTGAAAATTTAGCAGTTACTTTTCTGATTACTTTAGATATTCAAAACGACAAATTTTCTGCCAGCTTAAAAACTTCTGTTTCATACTATCAATTATTAGATTAAAATCATTGTGATTATAAGGTGCTTATCTTCTTATTTCAAAAATTATCTCCTTTCAGAGACTTGGTTCTAGCATTTCTTGTAAAAATACTTGTAGAAATAAAGGGACATTAGAGAGGATACTTAAAGTTAGAAGTAATTTAAGCACTTCCAAAAACTAATCCTACTACTTTTTTAAATACTTCCCGATAAGTGTACTGAAATATTTACAAAATTAGTAGAAAAATAGTCGATTACAAGGAATTTTATTACATGAGATGAGCATCGTGCAAGTCTTTGTGGCGATGCGAAGATGTGCGCTTGTTTCGCCGGTGTGGGGATAGGAAACCCTCGGTATACAAGAAGGGTCTTTATAAAGATACTCGTCACCAGTGAATTTAGATCAGTTTCGCTGCTGGTTGTCAGGTCACGCCTACAAGCACTCACGTGATTTTGCGGACCTGTTTGTAACACTGTATATTTCTTCGTGCAATAAAGCATCACTATTACTATTATTATTACTATTACTATTATTACTATTACTATTATTTTGGATCACACTCAAAATCAATCGCCGAAAGTTTTAACTGTTTTTTTGCTTCGGTGTCTGGTAGCTCGCGAGATGACGATCCAGTGCCCTCAAACCTAGACCCTTCTTTTAAATGTTCTGCGCATTTGCCTGAAATGACTATGCAAGATCTTCGTATTCTGATATCTTCTTTTAAACTTAATAAGGCACCAGGGGCTGATAATATTCGCTTGTGTGATTTTCTTCGCAATTTTGATACTCTAGGCAATGCACTGCTGTATATATTCAATGAAATTATAAAATCTGGGGTTATTCCAGACTGTCTTAAAGCCGCTATTGTAAGGCCGCTTTACAAGGGAGGTAAGTGCAATGACGTTGCAAGCTATAGACCAATATCTATCCTTCCGTGTTTAGCACTAATACTCGAAAAACATTGACTAAAAACAATGACCTCATTTCTAGATAAGTTTAATCTGTTGTCAGAACGACAATATGGTTTTACTGCAGGGCGTGGCACCGATTCCTTACTTGAGGATCTTGTTGCTACGTTGTACGCCTCATTTGATAATAACAAATTTGCTTGCGCATTGTTTTTAGACGTATCAAAAGCTTTTGATACGTCACAAAATTTTATTGAAGAAACTATTTGACTACGGTTTTCGTGGACCCTTTTTTTCGTTACTCAGCAGCTTTTTGTCAAACAGAACGCAACAAGTTTTTATTTGTAACACTAGAAGCACATATGTCACTTTAAAATCGGGCGTACCGCAAGGCTCCGTCTTAGCACCGTTACTTTTTAACCTGTATGTGAATGATCAAGCAAAGGCGATGTCGGGATGTGAACTGTATCAGTACGCCGATGATACTTTGTTGGTATCGCATCACATAACTTGTACCAGTGCAATGACTGCGTTACAGACAAACGCTACACGGTTGATGGACTGGTTCAATTCTAACTTTATAAAAGTAAACACAGATAAAACAAAACTTGTGTGTTTCTGTAGTCCCCTTAAACGCAAGGTTCTTGATACTCCTTTTTTTCTGAACTCATCAAGCTGTATTGATTGTACATGTATACCCGTAAACCATGTTAGTACAACCAGGTATTTGGGAATACTGTTTGATAGTGATCTCTCCTGGAATTCCCACCTTTGTCATATTGCTAAAACACTACGTAGTGTTTCATGTTTGCTTTATTCAACAAAAATGTTTTTGCCTTTCACAGTCCGAAAAATGGTAGCAAATGCTCTGGCTTATGGTGTGCTGCGCTACAGTATTACTCTTCATGCTAACTGTTCCTTGGGTTGGAAAAACAAAATTGACAGTATTCTAAAAGGAATTTTGAAAGCTGTAGCATACGGTACCAACATCGCATCTGACAATCTCTTCCCTTTTCTTCATCTCCCTCGTTTTGCAGCACTCTTCGAGAGATGTGTCATAGAAAAACATTACTGGAATAGTCCTTTTAAAATTTCACGTACAACTCAGCGTTCACTGAGGGACACCGAACATTTTGCGATCCCCAGAGTATACACTAAATATGGAAAAAGAAAGCGGTCATTTTATGTTCCTGATATCTTTAACAAATTGACAGTACCACTTCGTAATATAAACTCAAAACGACAGTTAAAAAAATTCCTGAGTACTAAATGTTAGACATCGTTACTGTGCTACCGCGTTTTATTGCATTGGCTCTTTTCTGCTGCGTTGCCAGTGTAGAAATCTTTACGTTTTTCTTTTTTTTTTTTCGTGCATTCGATGTGAGTTGTAGTTTTTGTTGTTGTTGTAGTGATGTATGTTTATATTCCGAATCCCTATGTTGTTTTCCTTTTACGCCGTTGCCGGGTCACGTCCCACAAGCCATTACAGGCTTTGACGGACCCGTTACCACTGATTTTTATCTCAAGACTGTCAATAAAATTATTATTATTACTATTATTATTATTATTATCATCATCATCATCATCATCACCATCATAATAATAATCACCATCATCATCATCATCGTCGTCGTCGTCGTCGTCATCATCATCATCATCATCATCATCATCATCATCATCATCATCATCGTCATCATCATCATCATCATCGTCGTCGTCGGCACTCGCGCAAGATTGTTGAGAGCGAGGGGGAACTTCGCTCTCACTATTTTGCGCCACTTCGTTATCAAGGAGAGCGCGACGCGAGAGTGAAGTTCCCCTTCGCTCTCCAAAATCTCGCAGCCAGCGAGCGCCGACGATAGGAGAGCCGCTGCACGGGAGGAAGCCCGCTCCGGTTAAGAGCGCGGTGAGCTGCGACGCCACTCTTTTTCCCAAATGGCAGTTACAGTGAGGGTCGGAGGTGCGTGGGGATTACTAGTTGCTGAGCCTGTCCAGTGTGCTGGCTGCACTAAGGTGCACAAACTGATTCCTGCTTATACGAGGAAGCTAGGGCGCTATGAGCGCAGGTCACCTCCTTATGCTAAAAACAAAAACGGTGTTTTGCGTAATATTTACGCGAGGAGGCACGTTTTAATTCTGCAATGATACCGAAACTAACCTTATTTTGGATTCAATTTATTGATATATGCGTTAATTGCTTATTCTTTCATACCTAAAGATGTGTTTCACAGCGTAATTATTGAGCTAAACAAGTTCTTCTCGGAAACATTATTTTGTGGTATCCGTGTCTGATCCAGGCACTAAAAAATATTTAGGATAGTTCAGTGTCCTTTTAAAGACAGGGTCTTTCATACACCTTAGAGGTAACATAAAATATTGTATTGGCTGGAAACATCAGTGCCGATATACCTTTGTTCCTGCTGCCTTGTCTCGCCCAGATACATGTGACGTAAAACAACGTATTGCGGGCCTCTAAATTACTTTTTATTTTTTTTTAGGGGGGGGGGGTATTTAGATGATTAATTGCATTAACACTATTCTCAGCACAAGAATACCGAAATCAATCCAAATTTTACAATATAGCGCCACGGGTTATGAATGTAAAATATGTTAACAAAAGGTGTAAAAGAAGATACGCTGTTCTCCCTGCAAAAGAAAAGGATGGGATCCGAGTCAGACAGCAGAAGTGTATGTGGTTTTTAAAGCAACGCGCTACGCATAAGACTTTATATTACAACCAGTGTTTTCCAGTGTTTGACTGTTTGCCTATCTTGAAAATGATGTCAGTTTTTTATATGCTAAAAAAAAACAGTCAGACGTTTCTGGAAATGCTAATAAATGGCGTGTTTTGCGATCATGGCGTTTATGGGGCCTTACATTGCCGCAATTTGTATCAATAGTAATAGTACAATTAAGAGATTTTAACACTTACTTTTTTCAAGGTCTAATATAATTTGTTGCTTATATATCATCTATTATCAAACGCGCAAACAAGTATGGCAATCAAAAGTGTACAAATTATCATTACTGGTGCCGAACGCGGCATTTTAATGAACAAGTTATAAATTATAGATAGTCTAAAATTAACTAAAACATTCGAGCTAATCTGAGAGATTCATGTAAAATCACATTAATTGTGAGTAAAGCATATGGTGCTATCAAAGTTCCGACTCTTGACACTCAGCAAAACGTCCAAACCCCCAAACCAAATACTCCAAAATAAAAATAATAAAATTTCTAAAAATAACTCTGTTCTTGTTTGCTTTCTTTTTCTTTTTTTATTACAAATTGTTTAGAATATTGTGTTTCTTTAATTTTTACGCGCCGTCGTTTTGCCAATTTCAGCCCTTCCAGTTCGGGGGAACGGCTACCCGCTTGCACGTCTGCTCACTGCAGCCCGTTTTCTTGTCGTTTGAAATTGGTGAAAAAGTACCGAGTTTTAGCATTGCGTATACGACTGAGCGCAAGCAATGTGTGTTCGCGTGTTCCACACTGCGCGTGCGCGGAGCCCGAAATTTCGGTCTTGGATTGGAGCATGGCGACAACGCGCATGCGCAGCGTGGAGCACGGCACTCTAACGCAAACGCACAGCGCTTGCGTTTGCTTCTATACTAAATACTAGAACTCTCTAGTAAGGTACAATCCCATACCGGCTGCAGCACGGCATTACGACAGAAGAGTGGTTATTTGCAATCGGAAATGATTGCTCGTGAGCCATGATTGCGAGCAGTTCCGCCGTGCGCTCTGAGCAGGAGCACCGAGGGAACCTCACTAGGGATGTTTCCGTTTCCGCCGCGGGAGAGCGAGCAACAAGCTGGAGACGCCAATACGTCTTACTGCAGTCGGACAATTTCGAAAGTGCAGTACAATTAATTCCTAACCTTGGGGCTTTGACGCATGTCTTATGAGACGAAATTACGCGGGAAAAGGGCCATTTATGTAGAAGTCTACAGGAGGGGGGTTGAACTTTATAATGTTATTGTGATGTCTATGACTGTTATGCAAATTTCCCTTCTATAGACCTTTCTGCTTACTCTCGCCCCCGACCGCCAAGGAGGCATATGCGGCATGGGCGACGAAAAAATATTGAAGCGTTTAAACCTGCAAATAGTAAAAAAAATAGAGGGGAGACAAAACAAGAATGGGTGTCGGTTACGCTTATCTCCTAAATGCATTCTATTGGCGTGGCGACGGCAAAACAATGTCTTCACCCATACTGGACGTGACGATATTTCAAGATGGCGACGCCCTTGTGAAAAAGGTCTATATGCTGCGAAGGTGCGGAACTTTGACACGAAGAAATCTGTCAGCGGAGCTCACCTCGATTCTGTTTTCCTTGAGTTGCGCATAGTTGCCGTCCAGAAGATCGGGTCTGGGTCCGGGTATGCCATACCTTCTTAACAGACCGTGCCGATGTCGACGGTTTAGCACCCACAGGAGGGCGCTCATTGCCGTGACGACGATGAGTGCTACTACTACCGTCAACGTTGAGATCTCCATTGAAAATGGCAGCATTATTTCGAGTCCTAAAATGAAACAAGAATAGATGTTAGAGTAATTCAGTTTATACACTCGACTAAAAAAAAAAGGAAAGAGGCAAGGTAAGAGTACTCCAAAGCTGGGACTCAAACCGTAACGGAAACCCAAACTCCGACACGTGACATCACGTAACGTGACGCTATATGACTTGACGTGAAGTCACTAGACACCACAACGTGACGACTATCTGGTCCTCGGCCAATCCTCGCACGAGTTCGAGAAAACTTTGCAATACAGCTTAATCCCGGCCCCGGGAAAACTATGTTGTACTCTGGCGGATCCCGGCCCAAGTCTGGGAGAACTATGTGGTGGCCGGCCCAGACACAGAAAGACTGTGCAACCCCGCCCAGTCTTGGGTCTATAGGAAAAGTGTGTACTACCGTGGACACTGTTAGCTGTAACCCGGCAGCGGCGGCCGTCCCGTACCCCCAGCGCCCGATAGCTGATCACTACTGATCGGACCTAGCGCCACCTCTTGAGCGTAATCAAACAATGACACATCTCTGACCCGTTCGCGAGTTCACAATTGGGTATTATCTTGATGATAACGTCTCGATAACATAAAAATAGAGAGAGAGGTCTCGTGGCACTTGATGTGCTTAACTTTAGTACTCCGTCATCCACCGGTCGGTGTCAGTTTGTGTGCGGCAGCAGAACAACTTCAGATTTGCAAACGAAGCGAGGTGATGCGTATATTACTAATGTTCGGACCCGCGTACTGTATTTCGGCTTTGTTTTCAAAGGGTGCACAAAAATGCAACTTGCAAGAGCGTTCATATTGTCGAGCAGACTTTTTTAATACTCGGCGTAAGTTTTCTAAACTTCCACTAAAACATCGGTGCGTAAAAAATTTTAAAGCCTGAAACGTATACAAAAAATTAACCTAAGAATATATAAAATGAGACCATAAACATTTTTAATATTATTTTTGAAAACGTGACACATTAGTTGCACGAAAACCACGGATATGGTGTCGTTTAAAACATATTTTCGATTTCGGTGCAGAAATTACATAGGTGTAGTTTGTTTATCTAAGAAGTGGTGTCGAACTATTTTTAAGTTTAAGAGAGGCAGTAGAGAGAGAGAGAAAGAGAAAGAGAGAGACACACGGTCATTTTATTAAAAGAAACAAGAAATTCGGAGAGGGTCAGTTCAATCAATAAGCTGTATTTGTTCGAGCTGAAAAGAGAAGCGAAATTAAAATAATAAACGAAAAACCTATAGAAAGTGACGAAGAAAAGGATGAGAGCTATAAAGTTATTCATCCCAAAAGCAATTGCATGTGTTTGCCCCTTTCGAAACTTGCTCTGCTGAAAATTCACCTTGTTGTTTAAGTTCATGAATAGACTCTGAAGTAACTTCCTTCAAGCACGAATGCCCGATGCAAAAAAAAAAAAAAATATATATATATATATATATATATATATTGTTACGTTTTTAATTTACAAAAGGACGTCCATAACCAAATCAGACCCAATTCGAAGTGTGTCACGCGCCGTCTGCACGCGCTTCGTCGTCGTCCTCGGTGGGTTCTAGCACGCGCCTCGGCAGCACCGCTACAATATATATATATATATATATATATATATATATATATATATATATATATATATATATATATATATATATATATATATATATATATATATATATATATATATATATATATTTAACTATATCAACGACGAAATCATATCTTTTAACTCTGATTAGAAGCATCGAAAGATGTGGGGGATGAGCGAGATTCTTTTTCCCCTTTCCTATAACGTTTTCATAAAAAATCTGTAGCTTCTGGGAAAGCGGTCGCCCGTTCCCGTCCTGTCCGACGCTACCGAAGCGATTCTAGATCTTTCATCTTTTTGACGAATTTCTGGCAGTCTTCTGGGTATGGTTAATACCTTCCGTAACACTGCATACGTTACAAGAGTCTATACCACGTTTCATCCAGCGGTCGAGTTATTTTCCTCTGCGTGCAGTTTCTGTGTGGAGGCGAAAGAGAAACGTGACCTCTGCTTGTTCGATACTTCCTGATAGGCACGGCTGGAGAGGAAAAGAGTAAGCGAATGAAGAAATCACTTTGTCGCCATTTATATGTTTGTAATATTTCCCAGGATTGTCGCGAGCCTTGCTGCTATTGGGAAGATTGTGTGCGTTGGAAGCAAGTTGGCCTGCTTTTTTGTTTCCGGGGCTTTTGGAGCTGTTGAAGTGCAGCACGAGAGTCCGTTAGTACTAGCACAGCCTGTGAAGGGAGTTAGCTTATCACATAAAGGGCATTTAGCTTCAAGGTTGTGTACACCGGGAAAGCTGCCGTTACACTTTGGGACATTCCAGGGAGGCATTTATTGAGAGCTATTTTTGGCGTGCACTAATTAGGGTGTCCACCCAAGGTGTCTCATACCCCTGTCAGACGGGCACGTTAAATGGCATTTAAGCAAAATTACATTGCAGCTCGGCCAACTCGCGTGCTTCATACGTCACGCTGCGCATGCACGCGCCACGTGCAGAACCAGGATCACGAGCTGATTCGCCGAGAGGTGAATGACATTCGATCAACTGTCTGACAGGGGTATTAGAGTTATCGTAGAGGTAAAAGAGCGCGGCGTTTTGCAGTGTTGCGGAATGGGCATCCCCATTCCATTCCAATTCCATTCCGGGGAATTAGAGTTTTCAATAATTCCATTCCTTTCAACTCCTAGGAATGGGGACACTGGGCTCATTTCCACTCCTGGAATGGCCGAGTCGCTCCATTCCATTCCTCCAATTCCTAAACGTTAAAAGTGTCACTTGACAACTGCATTACGTTGCAGGGTTGGGCAGAAATATTCAGAAATGTATTTGGAAATACAAATACTGGGATAGATGAAAATAGTTGCTGACATACTGATACTCACGTCTCAAATATATCCATAAAAATGTATCGTGATACGTATCGGAAATACATTTTAAAAAGAGGCAAAAAGTCTTTGGAAATACAAATGCAAGAATACATTTTAGCGAGGGCAGAAATATAAATACTGATAATGCAATACATTTTTTCAAAATTCTTTGAGACGCCAACTGAGATGAGGCTTTAAGTTTGAAGTGGAAGCTTATTTTTTTTATTTTTTTTTTTGGTCCCGAAATTACTTTTTCGCAGGCTTGGCACTTCGCCTTGAAGGCAGTGGTTCCGGACGAAGAGCCCTAAGTGGGTTTAAACAACGTTCCATCAAGGATTGACCGCGGTCCCTTTCCTGGCATCCTGTCTGACTGACCAGTGATGCGAAAAGACCGACCTCTAAAATAAATTCCATCAAAAAATCACCACTTCCCTGTCCAATAAGGGTGCCCCTGACACCACTGCATGACGTCACGGTGGGATGAACCAGTATTCTTGAATCTGTAGGTGTTGCCTTGAACATGAAACTTTACCCACGCTGCTGTATGAAAGGACAATACATACTTTCGTTGTAGCTGACCTCGTTAAAGACCATGCAGGCAGTTGCATTTGGAATTTTCGAGAAAAGTGGACCACCTGAAGCATCCTGAAGCGCATGTATTATCTTCTGTTACGGTTGAAAAATCAATACGGTGGCATCCCTGTTGTGACGGTCCTTCCTGCTGACTCTCTGCCTCCAGCGCATGAATGGCAGTCTTCAAGTTTCGCCTAGCATCATTCAAACAGGGACCTCGTGGATTGCGACCTGAGATGGCCGGCACAGGTGCGAGCTCTTCGAGAAGCAGCGCGCTCGAGACGAGTCGAAAGTGTACGAAGTCTGGGTCCGCACAGCGAGGCCACGTCTGGCCTCCTTCCTGGGTATCGGATCACCAGAGCAGCAGGTCACGTTCACGTCGGCTGATGACGTACCAGCCGTGCAATATTACAGGAGCAGACGCATTCGGATATGTGTTGAACTTCACTGGTGAAAGGCGCCACCGCTGCCCCTGCCCCCCTCCCCCCTCCGTTCGTTGCTTTGACGCTTGTTTTTTGTATTGCATTTTTTTCTTTTGCGCATAAGTCTGCTAGGGCCTTACGCGGGTTTGCAGTTTCCCGCTCATTTTATTTCTGAACAACCAACTCCCTGACTGGCTCGGTATAGCGGAACGTAATAAATAAATAAATAAAATATAAAGAACCTGGCCCCATTCCATTCCCATTCCGGGCAAAAGGCATCTAATTCCATTCCCATTCCATTCCCCTGAACGTAGCCGCCATTCCATTCCCATTCCATTCCGGGATCGCGAAAATCCGGAATGATTCCGGAATCATTCCAACTCCGGAGTGGCAATTCCGCAACACTGGCGTTTTGTCTGGTTCGAAGTCGGAGGTTTTGTTCCTGCAGACGCGTTAGACAAACGAATCATTTTAGAGAGAAGGCGTTTTGGTAAAAGAAGGTAGTAGACAAGGTACCCATGGCGAGTAATGTGGAGTGTGGGCTTGTGGGTGAGAAAGGTGTTGACGCGGCGCAGGAGCGCATGGTGGTTCGGATAAAGGTGCGCTCATTCTATGTACAACCTTCCTTGTCTTTCATGAAGGTGAAGAGTCTGCACCAATCCCCACAGACGTCAGAGCAAGGTGCGCCCCGGTAGTAAACTACTTCGGCTTTGCGGGGAAACACTGGTTGTCGCTAAGGGGTTTGTGGGAGAAGCTTGTGGCTTCCCGTTGAAGTGGGGGCCGCGCGAATGCGTCGGCCGCGGTCGCCAGCGTGAGCAAATCCGAGAAGTCGGTCTGCATCGTCACGGTAAGCGCTGGTTGTGCGAGGACTCGTCACTCGGGAGCAGTCGCCACACACAGACGTACCAGAATTCTGGTCGCCAGCCCTTTTGTTGGGCGCCAAATTGTGCTTCTCCTTGGGGCCACTGCCTTTGGGAGTACCACGTTCGCGGCGAGACGCTCTACCGCGAAGCGGGTTCGTACTCGCGTGCCATGCTGCTCGTTGAGCGCAAACAGACACCAGTCACGGTGATAAACTCTGTTTATTTACAATACAAAACAAATAACAAGAAGACA